GCAAGCTCATGAGGTCAACAACTATCGTGTTTTCTTCTCTTGATTAATCATGGGAATTCTAGCAATTGATGTGGGATTTTGAAGTATGATGAATACGATGCTGAAGCCAAGATGCTCAAGCACTTTTCATATCGATCAATCAAAGTCGAAATTTTCCCAATTGTTGCCTACAGATCATTCATATGCCACTAATTTTCATTTAGATCACTCAAAATCTATCCATATAGAGCAAGATCAACCGAATTTAGCATATTTTTGTTACAGAGATCATTAACGGATCTCAGTGACTTATGCCAGTCCAAATATAACAAAAAATTTGTTCACAGTCCCATCGGGAATGATTGAAATAATGATCACTGATTACTCATTGAAAACATATTGACAATGAGAATATTGAAAGCACATTGGAGGTTTAGCATTCAGTTCATGATAAGTACATATTTTGTGAAAAATAATTAAGCAATGGCTTATTTTCTGGTTTATCTGATGCTTTTTTGTTCTTGAAAGCGTACAATACAACGATGCTGAGTTGAAAAAATTAGTGGTGATATAATGTTGCCAAGGGACTTTCATGAAGGTATCAGTAAGGAAATAGTATAACTTTGAAATGAAATCAAAAATCTATTTTCGAAAGAATTTCCGAATAATATATCACTGTTAACCTTAGGGCAGTGCTTGAGGAGTTTCTGCAGTCCATCGTGGTTGCGACAATCTTCTTTCATCTTCTTCACTTCATTTCGCTCCGAATGATGCAATTCAGTCCAAGGCAATTCACCTGATAATTTGATCAATCACTTTAATTAGATGATCTGTGGATGGAGATCACCTTTTATTAATAGCATAAGCTGGTACAGATGCGTACAACTGAACAGCTCTAGATTAAGATTGCTTAGAATTCAAATTCTGCAAATATGGCATCAATTTCAACAGACAGCATGAGAACACTACAGGTGGTCAGTAGGTTACATAAGTTTTCGATCTATCCTGCTTCAGTTCAAGCCAATCAGGCATATGTTTTGCTCAACGAATAAATCAAATTCCGCACTTGAAATCATTTCAATTAACATGTAGAACCAAGACTCAAGATCGTCTCTCCTGGACTGCTCCTTCTCGTTATGTGTTGTTAACGAGGCGTATCGTGTGGTACCTCTGCAATACTTTAGTTGATCATTCGATTACGCCAATCACATTCGCTCAAATTTTTTGGAAATGGGCCGTTCCGAACAATTAATTTCATTTCTAACTGCATACGTTTCATTTCTCCTCACAATTCTTGTTATAAAATTCCAAAGACATCGGATTCACTGTTAAATGAATCGAGCAACTTCAAACAATGCAATGAGAGATGCGAAGCATGCATGAATCATCATTATTGAATGAAACACTGTAAAGCAAAAAGTTCTTCAGAAATCCATCAAATAAATGGCGCGTGTAAGAAACGTAATGATTCATCAAGTCAATTGGTTCAATCATCATTTTCAGTTACAATTTTCGGTGCATTCAAAATTCGCCCCTGCTCAGGAGAGTTCTATCAAAATTATCAGGATTCGGCAAGCCAAAAGAAATCGAATTTTTAAAACTAAAACGTCAAGAGAGTTGCAGTGAATTACCTGAAAGGCGCTCGGTCTCGTGGAGGTTTTAATTCACCTTTAGAATTTCGAAATGATCGACATAGACCAAAATCAATGATATAAACATTCAACGGTCCCGTATTCTCACGATTGATAGCGAAATTGGACGCATGAAATGATAGCATTGTGAATTACATTAATTCGATCAATTCTTCTAGGCAAAAAATTAATTTCGCTCTTTTGAATCGGTCCAGAGTAAGATAACCTCCGCATCTGCTCGGAAGTTAATTAAAACTTCACGCTTTCACTTCTTCATTTCCGATTAGATGTTCAGTAAACATATACAATTCGAAAGCCAAGAAAATAACTGATTGGACTCAGAAGTTCAGAGTTATAATGGAAACTAATTTGATGTTCGTGTAATTCTCAACTGTTGCTGTTGAATTTCCGTTGGAAATTAGCCGGCGTTAAAGTGAATGCTTGATTGGAACGCGAATAAAGTGGTACAAAGCCCGAGGAGTGTTCAATTAAGGCAATTTCGAGTGAACGATTCAATTGATTGTTTGTGCAGCGTTCACCCAAAGGATTCGAAGGAAGATCGAATGAACGATAAGAAAAAATTTGAAGGCATAAAAGCAATGAGGAAGGGAAGAAACAAGGCGTTCGTCTCGAAGAAACAGTCTTACTTTGACATCTCGATGAACGAAGCCAATTGAGTGCAGTTCCTCTAGCGCGGACAAGCACTGCAACCCCAAACGAAGTGCAGTTGATAACGAGAAATGACATTCGACGAACATCGCGCGTAACTTATGTAAATTGTCGCCTAACTGTAAAATTAATGTGAGAAAATTTTCAGTTAGCGAAGAAACAATTGAATTGGTTTTTTTTGAAATTTCATGAGCTGGGAATCATTCTTCTCAAAAGTTGGACGGAGTCGGTCAAAATGAGGATCAAACAAATAAAACGTTTTCATTGCGATGTAAAGGACAATTTCAATAGCTGAATCGAATGAATTCAGAAATGACATTCCCGAAATCCTCACTGATAACTAAAAGCTTCAATGGACCTGACGAGAATTAAAAGCGATTCGGAGTGAATTTACGGCTCAGCCCGCAATTACATAGCATTCCATACCGCAAATCACCGCAAATCAACATTCTACGAATTCCGCTTAGTTTTTCATGGTACTATTGGATTCATCATAATTGTTTCGCTTCATTTTCGATTTCGAAGCAGTTCTATTTGTGTCTTTCGATTTTCCCCTAATGAGTGTCATGCGAATAAATGAAAAACAAATTAGAATTACTCGTTATGACACAAAAATTTTGGTGGCACAAGAGAAATGCCACTTCGAATGAAACGGATAATTACCAATCCCATGGCGACAAATTTGAAATGTCCTTCGATTTTACCCCTATCCAACAACTCTGGAAAGTGCTGACAACCGTCTCGTTGTGCTCGACTCAGCACTTCATAATCCATATGTAAACCATGAAAATGTGAATCGCATACTTCCAATTTGCATGCGAAACGCCTTCCATCCGAATGCCTCAGCACCTAAAAATCTCAAACAATTATTTCCCGCAATTAAAATTCTATCACATTCAAAATGATCGCTGATCGTGAATGTCTTCGTGAATCTTAAATGACATTCGAACATTCAAAACTCCTGCATACTTTTCCAGCAGAATCTGCATTAAGTCTGCAGCTATTGCATATTGCACGCAATTTCCGTGAGATATCAATCAATCATGAAAAAATCTGCAGCAAAATCTGCCTGTGAGTGTTTTCGAAACAAAAACTGACTGATACAAATCGACGACCTCATAGACGGCTCCGTATCGGCCACGCGCAATCAGTTTGCCGATAGCAAACGCATGTTTCTTGCCTTGGATGAGGCAGTTCTTGTCCGGAAGACGGCTCTCCACATCCGAATCGTCACGTTTACAGCTACTTTCACGTGAATTGCCGAAGTCAATGGACATCACACGAATGAGCAACTGACAAGTAAGTCTACATGAAAAACGGCTGCTNAACATTAATGCGCAAAGCTGATCAACCATACTTTATGCTCAAGCAGTCCGCTAAGAATAAATAAAAACGAGGAAAGAAATAATTTAAATAAGATTGATGAAAAGCGAAAACGTGAACATATCATCAAAATTGAGTCGACGAAATTAATGGAGATTACTAAAGTATCCCTTTAATTTACTCACTAAAGTATTGCATTAATCGCGTTAGACAGTGAGATGGATTTTGATTAATATGAATTTAGGCGAGGAAGTTATCGTGGTCGATTTCGAAAGAATACTTTATTCGACGCATAAAACAAGATCTTGTGAAAAAGTGCTAAGAAAACAACGAAAACGATGAAAATACTGCATCATCGCATTCAAAGGATATCGGATATACGTCGTGTGCATAACAATGCGGAAAGAATGACTAGACGGACTGATGCATTCACATCAGAGTAGCTCCCACTGAAGCTATCCTTTCCATTGAGACATTCAGTCACAAGATGAGGTTATTTGAGAGTGATTTGCTTGAAAACAACACCTGCTTAACGTTAGTTAGGTGTTTGTTTGAGAGCTAGGAAGCGCCGTATTTCATTCATCGAAAACAACAGCGGGGGTTCA